CAACCTCTGCCTCTATCCCTCAACATATGGGTGACCTATTTGCTTGTAAAAATATAAAGCCTTATCATTAATTAATAAAAAAAGGGGGATCTGTAGGGAGCCGTCCCTGCATTCTCCATTACAAGATGGCGCCTGCATCCGGCAGGCACCGAATGTAAACAAGATTATTGCGCAGGCGCTGGGTAAATTTCCATTCCTTGATCTCTGCCTATTCCGTGGCGTCATATGGCCGGATGAGCTGCAGCCAATCATGGGGTGACATGTCCAAGGCGGCGGTTGCCCTCCTTTATTAGGGGATGGGCTTCTTGGTTCAGGGTCTCCGCTCTGGTAAGCTTATGCTCTCCTCTCAAGACGCATTAAAGCTTTCCTGCAGAAGGATCCGAGTGTCCCGTGTATGATTTCTTGCTGGCGAGAAATACAGAGAGCGCGCGGGACACAGAGGTTCTTTTTTTTGTAACTGAAAAAATTTCCCCATATGTGAGGAAATTATTGGAAAGTTGTTGCTGTCATGCCATTTGAGAATAGTGAAATAAGCAAGAGATAAACAAGCCTTATTTGACACATGCTTGGGTCATGATATTATCTGCTACTACAGGCCCAAAGTAATAGGTCCAGCTGACCATGGACTGCAATCTCTAAAATGTGAGCCAAAAAAAAAAAAAACCCTTTCATCCCTAAAGTTGATTTATCTTAGGTATTTGTTATGGGAAGAAAGCTGACTGAAATACTTGCTTTCCTCATTGCATTGATACACCTTTGCCGAGTCAGTTGACTATATGGAATGTCTTTTTCTAGACTATATTCTGTTCCACTGATCTCTTTGTATCATAATCTGAGTTCAAGCCTATAGTCTTAGTTGCTATAGTTTTAAAGTAAGTCTTGAATTATAAATACGATAGTCAATTGGTTTACTTCTTTTAAAAAAGTTTTCTGGATTTTGTTAATGTACCAGTATAGGGAAAGTGGACATGGATCTTCCATCAATGAACATATTAAATAATAATAACAGGAGCTAAGGATTTGAATTGGATATATTTGGTTGTCATTATAGACTATCATAAGCAATATTATTCCTTTTTCAACTTTTCATTTTGTTCTAGAATTGCTGTAAAAACAAAGTGAGGTTTTCAGTACCCCAGAGACGTATTTTTCTTCCTTCTGTAATTCGTATATTTTCTTTTTATTACATTTTTATTATTTGGTGTGTGTGTGTGTGTGTGTGTGTGTGTGTGTGTGTGTGTGTGTGTGTGTGTGCATGCACACCCATTCCACAATTTTCTACTTCCACCATATGAGTCCTGGGGGTTGAATTTAGTTTGTCAGGTTGGAGTATATACCTGACATGTACAGCTAGGTCATAGGATAGTTAGAACTTTTAGGCTTTTAGGAACCTCCTCTCTGACTTTACCAGTGGCTGCACCAGTTTATATTTTCACAAGCCGTGAATAAGGGTTCCTCTTTCTCCACATCATCACTAGCATTTGTTGTTACTCATTTTCTTGTTGGCAGTCAATCTGCTGGCATGAGATGGAATCTGTTTTTCATTTACAGATGGCTAATGATGCTGAATGCTTTGAATATCTATTGGCCATTTTTTTTTCCTTTTGAGAACTGTCTAATAATCTGTAATCCCATTTATTGAGTCTTTGGTGTTTTATAGTTTTTTTTTATATAGTCTACATTTTAATAAGCTGTGTGATGATAGTTGATATTTCCCATTTGTAGGCTGACCCTTTATTTAAGTGGTTGTCTTTGCTGTGCAGAAGCTTCCTGGAATCCCATTTGCCAGTTCTTGGGATTATTGTCATTTTTAATGGAATGTATCCAATAACTGGCTCTATAGAATTATGTTGAACTCTAGCAGTACAATCCTCAGAAGGGAGGCTCTTATTTCAGTAATAATCAGGAAAATACCAAGTTAGAGGAAGATTGGATCACATTTTGACTATAGTAGAACTCATAATAAACACTTATAGTGCCCTTCAGTTTGGAGCAGCAGAAAGTTAATTCCCCATTTTGTAGAACTTTCTTCATCAGATTGGTACATGATCTGGTCTACCAAATAGACTTTCTGTAATGTTCTGTTAGAAATTACCTAGCTTTTAATCTGCATTTCTCTTTCTCCAGTGATGTTACTAGGTCATTACTTAATACTTACAACATGCTAAGATTAAATGTTTCCCCATGTAAAATTTTAAAAAATTTCTTCTTGGTTTTTGAAGCAAGGTCTTACTATGTAGTCCAGTCTAGTCTTGAATCTACCATGGATCTCAAGGTGTCTAGAATTCACTATGTAGCCCAAGCTGGCTTCTAACTTGTGACAATCCATCTGCTTAAGCTTCTCTGAGTTCTAAAATTAAGTTGGAGCCACTAATCCTGGCTTTGAAGTTTGTCTTAGGTGTGCACTGGTGGCAGTATTTGGTTGTTACACATAGTAACTTTGATCAGAGTGAGCTTTGGTATGCACGTTGTTATAGGAATCCATTAGCTACAGAGCTTTAACATATCTTGGCTTTGGAATTTGCCTTGACCATCCCAAACTTTGGGATATAGGAATAATGTTTCTAAGCAACATTAGTAAGCCCTGGAAGTAGAAGGTAAAGCAGTAAAGACTTTCTTTTGTTGTTGTTGTTGTAGTTATTTGTTTTTTCTTGAGAAAGGGTTTCTATATGTAGCCTTGGCTGTCCTGGAGCTCTCCATGTAGACCAGGCTGCCCTGGGACTCACAGAGATCTGCCTGCCTTTGCCTACTAAGTGCTAGGATTAAAGGCATGTGTCACCACTACCAGCAAGACTTCCTTTCTTTTCCTCAGTTATTATAGCAGTTAATTTAGGTATCTAACTGCTAATAACTGATGAATTTGACATTAAAAAAAAAGTTTGCTAAAGCTTTAGTTCTTGCTTGCCCTAATATATGAGATGTTTACTAGTTCTTCTGTTTAACCAAATAGCAGAATCCCTTTGGCTCTGCTGATAAGGATCAGCAACAGTGTGGGGAGGTTACCATGACAATGCATCCATTGTTAAAGCCCACAGTTTAAAAGAATTAAACCTACATACCTCCTGAATTCAATGGGAATTCAAGCTATCTAGCTTCCTATTACCATGATTTGATAGGCAAATTTGAATTTAGCAACTTGAATGAAAATTGAGGATACTTGTAAGATCTTGTGCTCTTTTGATGTTCGTAAGCAAGTCAGTGGAAGACTGTTAGTGCCGTTACTTGGTGAGCTATCTACATTCATGTCATAGAATATAGGCACAGCTGTTTTATTGAAATGACTTGAAAAAGAAAAGAAGACAGTAACTAGTTTATCTTTGAAATCTAAATGTGTTCTATTGTATGCTTGATCAAACTTTCAAAGTACTTACTGGTTGAAGATTCTAGATAGTGCTGTCACATGGTTTCTTCTTTACTTTAGAATAAAAAAGTTATACATCTGAGCACCTGCATTGTCACCCACAGATTATTTTAAGTGAAATGTCCTAAATTTAATCTCTCCTCATTTGTTTGTTGAGAGACGTGCTAGATATCAAAGAGACAAGAGAACTAAAGAGAAAAGGAGGGAAAAGGATGTTCCTAGCAGTCCACAATGCAGGTAGCATTTCTCAGTAGAACTTCCTGATTTTCACCAAATAGTGTAAATATTAAACACATTATTAAAAATTTCTTAGAGTTAGAAAGCTCATATGAGAAAGATATTTAATAAATTTATATTCAAAAGTCTTATTGAGTTATTTACAAATGTGGCCTAGAAACTGAAAAATCCAGGGCTGAGAAGAATATGAAGTCTTGTGTTTTTACAGTTAGATGTGTTTTAAGTTACAGTTGTATAATTTTATCAATGTTGAAACCCATTATGTAAGGAAACCTTCATCTGTGTGGTTTGTGTAGTTAGAGGTTTCTCTCCCAGCTTTCTTTATCAACCAATATAAGCAACACATATTCCCAGGGTACAGAAGGAATTCCAGTGTACAGGAGGAGCACATCAGGTTTGTGCTCCTCCTTTTTTGGGTCCTGCTGCTTAGCACATGCCAATTTCTATTTGTGTTAGTCACCTTCTGTAGGTAAATTGTCCATGAGACCAGTGATTCTGTGAGCAAATTATCCAGAAAATTCTGTCTTTGCACGTTGTGACAGATCATGTCACTGGTGGATCTGCAGCTACTGCAGTGGTCTAATTAACCTGGCAGTTGTCTCCTGTGCCCAACACTGTTAACTCATTGCCTTGGCATCCTAGTTTCCATCTTTTCATTATCTTCTTAACTAAAGCTCAGGATTATGATTTTTTTTTTAAACCTATCCCACTCAACTCTATTCACGGCCCTTATTTTTGATTGGCAGTATCATCCAGATAAACAAAGTACAGATGTGCCAGCAGGAACCATGGAGGAATGTATGCAGAAGTTCATTGAAATTGATCAAGCATGGAAAATTCTAGGGAATGAAGAAACCAAAAAAATGTATGACCTTCAGCGGCATGGTAGGTACTTGTGGTGAGGCAACAGAACCATGGGCAGCTCTTTGAAGCACAGTGTGCAAGCCACACCTGGAGAGCATTTCCCAGCATTTGCATCAAGTTATTGCCATGATCACTCCTCACCCCATCATTGTTTTTAATTCTGTCCTATTCTTAGTAGTGATTATTGTGTGTCTACTGAGAAATGAACAAAACTACTAAGGTGTAGTTTCTTGTAAGGATGAAAGGCGCTTTCTGTAAACTACTAAAAATGTTCAATTTATACCCCAAATTAATATGCATTATGTGCTTAAAACTTCTTGTTACTAAACTTAGTTATGTATGCATTAAATAACTAAGAGTGTATCCTGTAGCCATGTTCATCTGCAGGAAGCTGTTGCTCAGGTTAGCTCCTGTAAAACTCATCTGGCTGTGCCCTCTTTTTAAGGTAGGTTTCATGATTAGCTAGTCTTTATAAGACTGCTGTCAATGGTGCCTTAGGAATGCACATTGCTTAAATAATTTTAAAGGTCATTTCTTTTTGCCTTTTGAAAATAGCTCCTTACCACAGTGACAAGCTGTTGGGAGAAAGAAAGAAAAATGTAGGTCAGGTTTGTCACACATGAACTGTATTACACGAAGTGATAGGCTGTCTTTCAGCACTGGCCTTGGGACAGGAGCCCCTCAGCCTTATATTTGGACTTTCAAGAAGCACCATAATGCTAATGTGGGAGCCAATAATCAGTTACAGCCTGTGGGAAAACACTCAGTTCCCTCTCCCCAATAGCGAGTACATCAGGCTCAGCACTGAGATATGGTGATAAAGCTCATGGTTGCTAGTTGATTATTGAATCCCCTCTCTTACCAACACCAGTACACTGCCCACCTCACCAGATGAAATCACAAGATGAATTTTAAAGCTTCTGCTACTAAGATTATGAAAAGTTGATTTGAGAAGCAAGGCTTTGTTACTAAATGTAACATTGCAGGATCCAGCCAGTATTTGTAGAAATCCATAGCACCAGAGAAAGCTGTACAACTTTGTATTTTTCTTCCAGTTTGCCATACTTGTGTGGTATTTGATTGTTCTCATCTCTGTTTTTTGAGACATGGTCTTTCTTTGTAGCCTAAACTGGTCTCAAACTCACCATGTGGCTGGTTGAATTGCAGCATTTCAATTCTCTTCAGAGCTTCCTGAACGTTAAGATTACAGGCATGTGCCACCATGCTAGTTCTAGCATTTGTTTGTAATACTGTTTAGTTTTATTATTAATCATATCTGGGCCCCTTCTACTTTTAAAAAGACTGGTGTTTTGATTTTTTTTTCTATTAGATCCTAGTGAGTTTACCTTTTTAAAGGCTTTGCATTAATTTTCAAATGTGCCTTAAATATCTGGTCTTCTAAAGGTAGTTCTAACTAAAAAAAAATCTGGTTTTATATATATGTATAATATATATACATATATATAAATTAAAATTTATAAATATATTTTATTTATATATATAAATAAAATTTATTATATATATTTATATATGTATAATGTATTATACATATATATATATATAATAAAATTTTATTTCTGGTAGAAAGAATGTAGTGGAACCTTCATATGAGAACAGATTCTATCTATAGGTCCATTTTTATAGCAGCATTCACATGATAAGTTTCTATGACTGTATTGACGTTAATGCCTTTAAGTGTGATGTAATTTTGAATGTGAGGTGGTCCAGTTTCATAAAGTCACCAAGTCAGAGAGTTCTCTGATCATGTGTCTTCATGTTTTCAACAGTGTTTACTTATGTGGGACACCAGCTTGCTTAAGAAGAATTGGGAAAAATCTGAACCCTGAGGAGTGTCAGACAGGGACTGGAAAGATGACTGAGAAGTTAAGAGCACTGCCTGCTCTTCTAGAGGACCTGGGTTTAATTTCTAGCACCTGTAGCAGCTCATAACCATCTGTAACTCCAGTCCCAGGGGATCTGATGCCCTCTTCTGGTGTCTGTGGGTACCAGATGCACAAACATCTATGTAGGCAAAATTTCATGTGTATAAAATAAAACAGATTGTGTAGGACATGTATGTTTAGTGTCTGCATTTTTGCCACATGTAGCCTGTATACTATAAAGATTATATAAGTGAAACTGTCTAGAGGTATACTTTCCAAAGTGTAAGAGGAGAGCAAAAATGATGAAGTACTGTCTTTTTCTGTGACATACAGTAGGGTAAACCCCCAAAAGGAAAGAACTAGGAACTGGTTTAAAGTGAGTGCAGAATTGCATGAAAGGCAGTTTAAAAGACATAAGTGCAAATGGTTAATAGAGCCCAAGAAGTTCCTAGAATTTATACATTTCTTTTGAGCTTTGAATGTGTAAGTTTAAGCTTTTAATAACTTAGCATCTGTAGCCTATAGTATGATAGGGGACTTTTATAGGTTGATGAGATCACAATAAAGTTTAAAAATATATATTATCCAGATAAATAGCCCCGAATTTACATGTCAGTTTACCTTGCCTTTTCTTCAAGTAGGTGATTATTCAATTTAGCTGTTTTAGGACAGTAGATATACAGCTTTTAATGACATTTGAGTACCTCATATATAACATAAAGTATGCTCTTCATCAGAAGTTCTGAACTTGAATGCTGTGTTCCAGTTTTAAGTGGCCACTGCTGTTGAGAGCTCGTATCTAAGTGTGACTTGCTATATTTAAACCTTTTATTCCAGAACTGCTTTTCAAAACTCTCATGATAAACCTGGTTTGAATCCTGATATTAACTTCTTTTTATTCATCAATACGTAGCTTTTCAAAAACAAATGAAATTCGAACTAAAATCTCTAACAGGATTTAGATTTGATATAAGGAAAATCTTTGAGATACTAATTTGATCAGTATAGGATAGTAAGAGGGAGAATTGTTAAAACCAGGTCAGAGCACTCAGTTTTTCTGGGTCACCCCTGGGGCCATGGAAATAGCTTTGTTAATACAGAACTCTTTGCATGTGGTGACAGTTACTGTAAAACATTTTTTTTTTTTTGCAGTGTTAAGTATATTTATTGCCTACCTGCTATTGACTTGCAGCATACTCAGCTGTTCTTGCTTCATTGGCTGATACTCAATGCTTTTCCATATCTCCTAGCTCAGAGTGATACTCTATTTTATGTGGTGGCATACGCCTTTAGTCCCAGCACTCGGGAGGCAGTGCTGTGAATTTGAAGTCTGGTCTACAAGAACTAGTTCCAGGACAGCCTCCACAGAGAAAGCCACAGAGAAACCCTGTCTCGAACCCTTCCCCCCCAAAAAAAGAAGAATCGTATCAGTATTGCCACAGCCATAGATGTATCCAGAAGCTAAGTTAAAGGACCCTTGGTATCCGTATTTCTTTACTTCTCAAAAGAAACAACTGAATGGGTTATTTCTAATGAAAAAGATGTGATAGGAGGGCAGATAGCCTTAAGTAAAACACAGTTTCCCCGCCCCCCCCCATGTCTGTATTCTTGGCATTTTAGGGCAAATCTGGTCAGGCAAAGGAAAGTAAGTCTAAGAAGATGAGTAATATTGGGTTCCTAGAGATCATAGTTTTTGAAAGTGACATTGACTAGTCAAATTAACCTATTAGTTCCAGTTGGCATATTTCCCACATTGTTGGTAAAGATGTCTCTAAAGCAGCTTGCAGCATCCCCTCAAAAGCACGTAGTTATCAAAGATCATGCTTATTCAACCAGAGGCATATTTGGAGAACTCATTCAACATGTGTCAAATGTTCACATCAACAAGGCTATCGAAAAGATTTTGATGTCTTTATAAATCTTCTGTGGGGGTTGGGGGTCCTCATATATTGAACACATTAAAATGAATAAACAACAGAAGTATTGCACGTATCTCAGTGCCTCGGTGGCTCACAATGGCACACCCATGAGTCATTTCTCTGTTGTCTGAAGAGGAACAAAGTTACAAATGCTGTCAATCAGGTGAAGTAATGCTTAAAAAATAAGTGAATTATGTTTGGAATCCCTGTTGATACCTATACTAAAGTACATCTTGTTCTCTGTTAGTTTGGGTGACTGTTTTGGCAGTAATATACCTTCATTCTACCAAGTGAACAAGTACGTAGATGTCACAGAGAGCCTGGCTGAGAAGGGTTTGGCAGAACATATAGCTAACATGCTGCTCTATGCTAGATACAGCAAGTCATTCCTGATGCTTTATTATACATTTCACTTCATTTCTTTATTAGGATAAATATTTGAAAATGGAAGATAAGGAAATAAATCTTGTACCAATGAGAAATGAATCTTTAAACTCCAAAAATATTCATGTATTAGGTCACTAAATCTTAAGTGTAAAAATGGGAATTCTTTCTGAAAAGGACCTTTATGTTTAAGGTGTATTATAAGAAAGGGAGGAATGTTCTTTTAAATGTAAATAATATAAATTTGGGCTACCAGTGCTAATAACTTGAGGCCAGTAGACAATTGTGTAAATTATGTCCTAAAGCTGACCCTTAACAAAATATGTAAATTAGTCAGATTAGGAGTTAAGTTTGATTTTAGGAATTTCAAAATTGACTGTAAAAATTTGCTTCAGGTAAAAACCTGTAGATAAACATTGAGAGTTTTTTTTTTTTTTTTTTTTTTTTTTTTTTTTTTTTTTTTTGCTGACTGTTTCTGGGAAAAATAGGTATGTGAAATGATGCAGAAAATCCATCTAGACAGTTGAGACTGGGATAGGAGAGCATAGACAAACTTTCAGGAGGGTCCCTACCTTATTCTATTTATCACTCAGTATTTTACTTTCATGTGAATGCAAATAACAGTCTTTACTATGTAAAGTATTTTAATATTATTATTAATTTTGAATAAAAATTAGTTACAAATAATTAAAAGTCTGTTGTTAAAAATACAGTTGTACAGGTGTGAGTGAATGCCATTGGAGAGTCTGATTTAACAGGACTGATGTGGAGGGATTTTTTTAGGAGTACTTACTTTCAACTTTAACCACTCTCCCAAGTTCCATTTGATTACTTCAGTTGAAGTTGGTAGCTTTAAAATCAAGACTAGTTAGTTGTCTTTCTCACTGTTTAGACCCTTCCTCAGACTTGAGCTGGCCTTGCTCTGGTTACATCTCCTTTGCTCTGCTCATAACCACTGAATCAGGAGGCTCAGGTGGCATTTCTTCTTTGTGTAGTGTTCCTTTTTCCTGTATATTCATTTCATCCTCAACGTTCCAGTAGTCCTTCCTCACACGGTAGCTCATGGCCCCTTCACTTCCACAGCCCCTGTGCCTTTCCATTCTGTGCTGCTGTCTTCTCCCACAGTCCTTGACATGTAAGCTGATAACAGCCTTTTTTTTGTCTGCATTTAAATACTTTTATAATTCCCCCCAGGACAGTGTTTATCTAAAATTTAAATGGGGTAGAAATTCCTTGGTTTGTCCCTGTCACTTTTCCCATCCCTATATAACACATATATAGACATATATGTGTGTGTATATATATATATATATATATATATATATATATAATGTGTGTGTGTGTGTATGTTTTGATAATAATACATCAGTTTTTAATGGGACTGACAACTGTTATGAAACCAGACAAAGTCAGGAGTTGCTGCCTTCCTACATTGGAACTTGAAGCTTCATCACTAACAGTGGACTGGGTTTTGGTCATTTTCTTATGTTGTAATACACAGTTCAGTGGTAAAAATATAAGATAATAACAGTTAAAATAGTTACTATTTTTGTGCACTGGACCTGTGGTAATTGCCTTTTAAATATTGTTTTAAAACCCTTGTGAAGGCGATAGCATTATCTGTTTCCAGAAGCCTCTTGAAGCTTGCTGATTTCACCAAGGTCACATAGCTATTGATAACGAGGGATTCCAAAACATTTTCTCTGAGTTTTAGAGTATCAGGCTGCCAAGTTTTGTACAACTAGTGTATAGTCTACTATCTTTTGATCTAAATAGTCAGAGATGCAGGGTTTTGATGGTCTGAATAAGAGGCTGCACCTGTATCTGTTGCTGTTCCTTTCTATAGTAAAGCAGATAGAATTGAGCTTTGTGTTACATTTGGTACCTACCTTATCCTTTTTCCCCCTCCCTCCCTGACTTCCCATAGGGCCTCTCTTTGTAGCCTGGGGTGCCCTTGAGCTCCTTGTCTTCTGACTCAGCTTTCAAAGTGCTGGGGTCACGGTGTACACCCCAGCCCAGGTCCATTTGTCACCTTTCCTCTCATTTGTAAAAACTCCACAGTTCATTTCTTTTCTTCAAGGTGAAAAACATTGTAATTGTGAATTTAATTTTATCTGGGAAAAGATTATAGGTTTTAAAACTTAGTAAACAATTTGCAAGTTAAATGTTGCCCATTTCTCAGCCCCATATCAGAGACTTTACCAAGAACAGTAATAGTGAAATCATTTTTAAAATGAGATGATTCTTAAAATTAAACTACTTGTCTAAAGATAGAAAAGTCTGAGCTAGAACTAGAGGGAAACACTAGTGTTTGGCTCTCAGTTATATACATACACAAGCCTTAAAACTGGAACAGATATTTTATGCCTTTGACGTTGCATAACAATAAAAGTGGTAGACTAACTGCTTCATGAGAGAGAGCATTTGGGGGTGTGATGGCCCTTTGAATAAATGACTTTGCCACATGTGAATGGGACAGACAGGCCTGCAGATGCACTTGATCTCTTGGCCATTATTCAGTTGAGTGAAGCTTTTAAGCACCTCAGCCATACTGAACAGTTGAGTCCCTCTCCCTAGAGTTTCCGGTTGCTGCTGCTTTAAATTTTTACTTAATGGTCTTTCTTCTTTTTTTAAATTTTTTTTTATATTTTCATGCTGTCGGTTTATTTAGAAACTTTCATGGGATTAGAAATGTAATTATTTGGATATTAAAGGGTTGCTTTGGAAATTTGACTATCATTAGGAAGAAGGTTTTAAAGACTGGAATTCCATTGTCTTACAAAAAGTAAGAAATATTTATTGATTCCCAAATGGGGCTGAAGAAACTTTTCCTCTTTAGAAGGCTGTGAATGACTCAGCGAGAGCTCTGGTGAGCTTGACTGAACCAAGCTGCTAATAGTTATTTAATGTTATTCGTCAGTGTGAAAGAATCGCTGTAGATTTTCCTTTTAATCTCTTTGAATTGCAGGCTCATAAACCTCTCTGACGAGCCCTGCCAGTGTTGTCTTAGATCCCACTGTTGAGACAATGGAGCCACAGAATTCTTTCACCTCTTGTTGTCAGACAAACCCAATAGAATGCAAGGTCAGAAGGGCCCATACTTCTAAAGATTGAAAGATTCTTTTTTAAGTAACCACATAAATTATTTGATTTTATCATTATTTTCCTCAGGAACCTCACTCTAACTATAATTCCCTGCTTTTGATACATAAAAGTAAAATTGGAAGGTGGGGGGTTGCTCTTGTCTCATTTGGCTAAGCTTGTCAGTATGACACAGAGTCTGAACAGACTTTAATATTCCTTGATATTCAAAAGAGTTGAACCCGTTTCCTAATAAAGAATCAAATTGTATAGTCACTGCACTGGAGATAGAGTGAGCACAGCAAAAGCCAGCAGTGTGTTCTTTACAAATGGCTGTGGGTTGCTTTGTTCTTTTTACGTTTTGTTTCCTCTGTTTTTGTTGTTGTTTTGTTTTGTTTGTTTTTTCCAAATAGTTATTGCTATTATGTAGGAAAAAAAAAAGATTCAACTTTAAAATCCCTTAAAGTCATTTTCTTTTCTCAATTTTAGTAGTGTCAGTGTTTCCACAGGAGAACTTTGAGGTGGAATTTGCATTTCTAGATCTGCCTACTAAACTATGTAATTGCAACCAACAAAATTGTGTGTGTGTGTGTGTGTGTGTGTGTGTGTGTGTGTGAAAACAAGCGTATCTGTTTTGAAGGTGCCATGCCTGATTACTACAGAATTATCAAAGCTGCTTTGCTTTTAGGGCTCCTGTAAGTAGCTTTAGTACATAGGGAAGAGTTCAGAATTTTTAATTATAACCACAATGGTGGACAAGCAGAGAACATTGTTTAAAAAGAAAGAAAGAAACACACACTGATTTGTTTGTACCCCTTCCTTATAATTGTAGTGGGGGTTGGGGTGGTTGGGTGGAATTTGCTGTTGTCCTGTCCTTGGACACCTGCCTCTTAACAAAGGATGCTGGTCACCCCCCACTGCCACATTTAGATTCACCTTTTACTTTTCCTGTACTAGGTCTGCTCATTATACAGTTCTCCAGGGATCCAATTTTCCCCTGAGTTAATCACTCAAGCCTTTTCAGATGTTGTTAGATTATTGTCTTTTCAAGGGACAAAGACTTTTCTTTAAAAAAAAACAAAAACAAAAACAAAAAAAACTTGTCATTTCTAGTTTTAAAAATGGGACCACTAGAATCTCATATATACTGCCGTTTAAACTTTTTGTTGAAGTGTAAGATGTGTGCATGTAGAGAGGTGCAGAAATCTGTGTGTCACTTGATAGATTTCTCTCCATAAGCACACCAATTTAATAGAAAGCCCCCGAGACTTGCCCCTCAACAGTGTAGGAAAGTTTTCTATACTTGTTAATATCACATACTAATTTTTAAAACTACTCACAGATTTTTGTGCACACAGTATTGTGTACAAGTAATCATGTTTCCATAGCCACAGAACTCCAATTTATTCCTTTCAACTCTGATCTTTGGCAAATAATTAACCACTTTTTGTGTTCTTTTCCTTTTCCCCATGAGATGGGCTATGCTAATCTTTAACCAAGAATAGGTACTACTTTAAAGGCCTGTGCATGAGGATACAGAGGAAGAGAAAATAAGGAAATGTGGGTGCAGTGATAGACTGATAGACGGGCACACAAAATAGTACCTGAAAGAGAATAGCAGCTGCTTCCCAGTAGAATAGCAGGACCATGGGAAGCTGACTTGCTTGGCAGTTACATTTGAAGATATTTCTCATTTATTATTTTTTAAATAAAATGGCATCATGGGTATTATAAATGTTTGTCCTTTTAACACATTCTATTCTGGGTATTCAAGATAGGTCAGGCTGAATCTATCTATGGTTGCTTTCTCTGCTCAAAGTCTGCATGTTTTAAGTGAGACTTCATGCTTCTACTACCATACTCTTACTATATTTAGTTGGATTCATGGCTTAGACCCTCTATATGTAGAGGAAATCTTTGGCTCAGGAAATAGCAAAAGATGGACAGAATCTTGTGCTGTGGGATTACCAAAGTAATAAAGACCCCACCATTTAGTTTCCTATTATTCTTCTGCAATCAGATGACCAACAGTCCCCTGTGTTTTTGTAGAGCTCTGCTCTTTACAGCCCCTCTGGCCTTATCCCATTTGATTTGAAAAATACCCAGTTAGTCTGCTTGAGCTGCCATAACAAAACACTGTAGACTGAGTAGCTGAGCAGAACTTGTTTCTCATGGATTCTGGAAGCTGAGAAGTTCAAGGTCAAGGTTCTGTTCCTTATGAGGGCTGTTCTTCTGGCTTGCTGCTGTTCTTTATATGGACTCTGTTCTATACCTTGGTGGCCATGGGCTGAAATCTCTCTGCCTCTGCTGATGTCAAAAGCATTAAACTAGTTCGAAAGCAGTTCATAATTTGAGTTTGCATGGCCATACTGGAGGAGATGCATTACCAGCATTCCTCATTATTAAATTGTCTCATTTTGTATTCCCTAGAAGCTGAACTAAGAAGTATGGGGCCAGTAGATGCACAGGTGTACCTTGAAGAAATGTCCTGGAACAAAGGTTGGATTTGATTTTATTTTGTCGTATCCATACTGCAGAGAAATATAAGGATTTTTAAAAATATATGTAGGAAATAATCAGGATGTTTGTAAGTCTTAAATAACAGTTTTACCTTTCCACATATGTTTTTGTTTGGCCTGCTTTTATCAACTTTGCTTATTGAGATAGCATATGACTCATTTCTCATTATTTTCTATTCCAATTAAAATATATGTGTTTTCATTTTTTTACTGTTTTGATTTTTGCATTGTTATCTGTGTAATAAGGTTAAAGAAAAGATTAGAAAATGATAATATTCTTTGTGGTGACAAAATAAGTTCCTGTTGGCTATATCCAAGCCTCTCTTAAAATGATCTTCCTAGAGGTCTGATGGAGGAAGTGCTTCTGTGTATGTGTTTGTCTTATTGGATGATAAATAAAGTACTGTTTGGCCAATAAGGGAGCAAGTTAGGTAGGACTAGGAATCAAGAAGGATTCTGGGAAATGTAGTAAAGAAGTGGTGATCCAGGCAGGAAGTGACATAGCAGGGAGACTCATATAAGCAAGGGCAAGAAGGAAGTCATTCCTTTCTCTCTTCCTCCTGCTCTCTGCTCTGCAGTTGCCATGTGACCTGGGAAGAGGACACCAGTGGAAGGCGCCCTCCATAAGACAAGTCTTATGATTATGGGTCATAATTAAGACTGAGCTAGCAAGTAAGAATCCTAGGGATTGGCCAGCAGCATTGTACCTGATATAAGTCTCTGTGTGTTACTTGGGACCTTAACGTGGCGGCAGGCAGAACTCGGGCAGCCTGGCAGAAAGCACCCACATGGTGGCTTTGGAGTAAAGACTTATGGTTACAGTTTGGTTATAGTTTTCTTCAGTTATTATAAAAGATAAATTACCCTTTTTATTTAGACAAAAGAGAGATGATGGGGGAGGTCCTTCTGTGTATGTTTATCTCCTTATTGGTTGTTGAATAAAGTAATGTTAGCCAATGAAGAATCAAGTTAGGAGGGACTAGGAGTCAAGGCGGATTCTGGAAAATGTAGTAAAAGGAAATCTCGTGATACAGGCGGAAAGTGACATAGAAGGCAGACTCATATAAAAGCAAGGGCAAGAAGGAAGTCGTCCCTTTTTCTCTTCCTCCTGCTCTCTGCTCTGGAGCTGCCAGGTGATCCTGGGAAGAGAAGATGCCAGCAGCTGGCATCCAATAAGTCCTTATGGTTGATAATTAAGACTGAGCTAGCATATAAGAATTCCTATTCTTTGGCCAAGCAGCATTTAAACTAGTAAAAATTTCTGTGTGTTGTTTGGGGTCTTAACGTGGCAGCGGGCAGAACTTGGGCAGCCTGGCGGAAAGTGCCCACATGGCAGCAGGGCTCAGGCTCATAATATAACTTGAAAATTAGTTTTCTTTAAAAATTTTTTCATTATTATTATTACTGTTGTTGTTATTGTGTGTGTGCATGTGCCATGGTATGTGTGTAGAGGTCAGAAAATAAACTACATGTATTGGTTCTCCTACCATGTAATTTTTGGATCCATATGTCAAGCCTTTTCTTTTTCCTTCCTTCCTGCTCTTGCTTCCTTCTTTCACTATCCACTCCTCATAGAGGGTGAGACCTCTCATAGGGGAATCACTGAAGTCTGTCACATCATTTGGGGCAGGAGCTAGGCCCTCCCCCATGCATATAGCCTGAGAGAGTATCCTTCTGTACGGAATGGCTTATGCAGGAGGGGTTTTTTGTTTTTTCTGAGACAGGGTTTCAACTTTGGCTGTCCTGGAACAAACTCTGTAGACCAAGCTGTCCTTGAAATCAGAGATCCAAGCTGCCTTTGTCTCCTGAGTGCTGTGATTAAAGGCATGCACCAACATGAATGGCTGATTTTTTTCTAAATTCGAAATGAAATTGTTTTTTGTTTATGGAGAAAACCCACATTGTGATAAATAAAAAAACAAGAACAGATTTATGTTTTCCTTTTTGAGAAGGCAGCACATAAAGGCTTAATTTCCCATTTTTCCAAGACTGCATTTTTATCCAGAGCAAGTACAAAGCAGCATTTCAGCCTCTCCCTCCCTCCTTCTGCACAGAGTGAGTTCTAACTGTAGTGAAAGTCAGCTGCAGGGTCCTGTGCCCACTAGACACCACTTGTCTCTGTAAGGTATCAGTGCAGTAAAAAAGATTATGACCTGTTGAGTTCTGATGACTGATACTTACCAGAGACAGTAAATTAGAACAGCAGTGGGATCAGAGGTTTTTATTCAAAGGACAGTAGCATCTAAACTTTCCATCTCCACTGTTACTAGCAGGTGTGTGGGTACATGCCCAGAATCATGGCACCCAGAGGCTGTCAGGATCACTAGAGTTCAAGGCCATCATCCTATGCTACATAGCCTAACTCTGACTTTACGAATAAAATTTAAGGAGCTGACAAAATGGCTCAATGAATAAAGGCGCTTGTGGTTAAGCTGACAACCTGAGTTGGATTCCCAGAACCACATGGTAGAAAGGTGTTCTCTCACCTCCACACTCATGCCATGCTGTATGTACGTGAGTGTACACACACACACACACACACACACACACACACACACACACACACACACACGTGTAAAGGTAATGCATTTTAATAGTACAAAGTAAAATTTAAAAATCTCATCATCAGTTGTATTTTTTGCATGTGATTTTCCTATAGTACTTAACATTTTAAATACAAAGCAGCAGATACATAACTCATAGGAAAAAAACAAAAGCATAAAAGCATTGTATTGTATTTGAGTCACATGATTATAGAATGGCATAGACAGCTTGAGATGAACAACTGAGATAGTCACCTTCTCTAGGAGAGACTTCAGCAAATACCATGCTCTTTTTTTAATCCCCTACTAACATCTTGAGTGCCTTGCTGAGAAGACTATAAAATTTGCAGGATTCTTAAACTAAAAATTTCAAATTTCAAAGATTACTCTAAGCATCCTTTGCTCTACCTTATCTGTGAATATTGAATATAGTCAGTGAACCAGTCCATCACCACTACCAATAGACTGTTCAGTAGTTAAGTTTAGAAACGCTGCTCTTAATGCCAGAGGATCTTTCCAGCTCTCCTTTTGTCTGTGCCTGGCTTCTTTGCTTCATTTTACAGTTTCTCTGGAACATGTTATATATTTTGAATGGTTTTCAAAGTAGGTGACTATAAACATTAGAGGCATTATTTTTGTTTTCTTTGCAGATGATGAGTCTTTCTCTCTGACCTGCCGATGTGGTGGAAAATACACTGTCTCCAAGGATGAAGTAGAAGAAGTGAACCTGGTTTCCTGTGATACGTGCTCCCTGATTGTAGAACTCCTTCATCAGTGATGAACTGTGCATTCCTGGGATCTTTTAACTACAGTCAGCATGGTCCAGAGGCCACTCGGTTTCAAGGAGACAAGACACTTCCTTACTAGCTGTATAATTTGCAGACATAATATAAGATCTTCAAGCAAACACCACTTCAGATTAACAAATTCAGGATATCATGAAAAGGACTTGGATTGTTATTTCTGGATTTTCATCTAACAACTTTTGTTTTCTCCTTGGTACAAGTAGTTCTTTTCTTTCTTTCTTTTTCTTTTTTTTTTTTTTCAGGGTTTCTCTGTGTAGTTATGGAGCCTATCCTGGCACTCGCTCTGTAGACCAGGCTGGCTTTGAGCTCATAGAGATCCACCTGCCTCTGCCTCTCTAGTGCTAGGATTAAAGTGCCACTGATGCCCAGCTCGGCACAAGTATTTCTTATTTTTATATAGTTTATAGTTTATTCTTTATAGTTACCAAGAGTTTTGTTTTAATCTTTAGTGTGGTGGGGCATAGGACAATAACTGAGACTATGAGGAGATGATTTTTCTTTCTTCCCCCTTGTGGGTCCCAGGGGTCAAATTTGGGTCCTCAGTCTTGTGTAAGTGCCTTTACCTGATGAACCATCATGCTGTCCCTAATTATGAAATTGTTGATGTAAAAGATGACTTTTTTAGTTACTGAAGTTATATGCCTATTGTATACCTGTTTCAAATTTGCAGGCATTTAAATAAGATTAGGATTTTTTGTGAGCAAAGTGTGAACCTGGTTGTGTCCTAAACAAGGCTGGATATGGATGGCTACAGATTTATTTCCAAGCTGCTCAAGAGCTTGTAGGAAATGTGACTCTAGTCCTGACCTTGGATGTCTGAAGCTTGTTAGCAGCTTAACTTCAGATGTAACTTGAAATTCAGATTTTACTTTTCATTTAATTGCCTCCATTTAAGACTAAGAAGCCATTCCTTTTATTATAGTGTAGTGAAGGTGCTCATATAATGAATGATTACTGACTACAAAAGACGGTACAAATCATACCCTACGTGACCTCTTTGTATGTAACATTTTGTTTACATTGTAGGTCAGAATTCATTTTACAAACACCCAGGGGCCCTATGGAGCACCTCTGATTTGTGTCTAACTGTTGGTATTGTCAGAAGAGCATAGACTAGAAATGCTTAGTTCCAGCCTTTTGTAAGGACAGACAGCTAACATCTGAGGCACACTTGAGAACAGACTGCATTCATTATACAGGCACCACCAAAATTCAAATGTGACATAGTCATCGAGATTTCTCCTCCAAGATATTTTTATATAATAAAATTTAGAAGGAAATCATGTTTGGTATTGTTATCCAAATACTTTTAATTAATGTATATTGCAGAATGTGATGTTTACACTTACATTTAAATAGAAACAAAACTGAGTAGCAAATAGTTTATTGGTAAGTTCATGGTTTCAACCGCAGTAATAAATTCATATGAATAGAAGACAATAATCAAGTCAAAAAGGTAAATGCTTGCTAATCATCAGAAAATCTGTCGCCGTTTGGGCTGTCACGAAGAAATCCAAAATCACTGAAAGGCCAAATCTGTAAAATAAAAATACAGTTGATGGCAATTAATGAAAATTCTTTATCATCATGACGTTCTCTTTTACTGTTCTCTCTGCTAGATAATGCAGTGCATTCTCTTTATCAGTTATTCTGAAAATAAACTTGTGTATGTAGCCTGGGACATTCAATTACAATACCAGAAAACATGTTTGTTTAGTATATCAACATATATTTGTGAAGACCTGTCTCCTTTTACCATCCTAAAATAAGTTACATACCAATCTATGGTGCTTGATACTAAGTTGCTTAAATATGGCATCTGTCTAAGTATAAAGAATTCTGAACATGCTGGGCGTTGGTGGCGCACACCTTTAATCCCAGCACTCGGGAGGCAGAGACAGGCGGATCTCTGTGAGTTCGAGGCCAGCCTGGTCTCCATAGCGAGTGCCAGGATAGACTCCAAAGCTACACAGAGAAACCCTGTCTCGAAAAACAAAACAAAAACAAAACAAAACAAAAAAATCCTGAACATTATACAATTGCCATAAGTACTCATGAGTTCTTTTTTTTTTTCTTATGCCTTTTGATAAAGGGGGAGCAGGTATGGTAATGCACACCTGTAATCCACACCCATGATACTAACACTTATGATACAGAGACAGAAGGGTGGAGAGTTTAAGGCTAGCTTGGACTACCGAATGAGACTCTGTCTCAAAACAAAATTGTATCAAGCAATAAAAATGACAATGTCATCCAAGGCTTGTACGTTCACTCGTTCACTACAGCCATATGCCCACCTATAGCTTGCTGTATTTGACTGGGTCAGCCTGCATTCCAAGTAGAGTGAGCCTGGGCTGCTGTTGTAGAAGTGTGCTTGCTAAAATGCCAGGACATGACTATGACTATAATAGAGACACATGGCAGAATATGATTTCTGTAAACTCAAAGGCTCCCTAAGCTACTACTAGTTTAGTTTGAATTTTATTATAAAAACTTCTCTTATTCCCCATAGGAGCAGGGATGGGAGAGGATAATGTTTTGTCTTTAGCTCCTAAGTAAAGGTAAAATGTTCATCAAATGTAGTCACTGCACCATTAAATCAACTTAGCAGCCCAAGGGTCTCAAAATTCAATTTGAGAACCACCACCACCCCCCAACTCAGAGAAAAAGCTGGCATTTTAGGCATTAAAGCATACCTTGAAGAAGATCCGTCCTCGTATTAGTCCATATGGTATAGGCCCGTAGTACCTGGAGTCTGTAGAATTCTGTAAGTTATCACCTTCTAACCAAACATGACCTGTTGGCACCTGGGATTAGTAAAGACAGCAGGCCCTTTAGAAACAAGAAAACCTCAACAGAGGACTGTCACTAAAAATATATCTCTATGGTATACACCTAGAACCCACACACAGGAGACTGAAGTAGGGGATCATGAAATAAAAGCCAGCCTGTGTGAAAGAAAGACTTCATTTGGACATACAGCATATGTCCTAAAGGTTTCCTTTGTTCATGTCACAAGAATGACTAGTTTTGTTTTCATTTCTTACTAAATAACTAACTAAATATCAAAGGGTTCCACATTTTTAAAAGATCACTTTATTATACAATTCCCAAACATTAATTTATCAAAACCCCAAACTAAGGTTGTAAGAAATCAAAACAGTGTGGCAGTGTCATTAATTTAATAGACTTCAAAAGAGGTCATTAGGCTGCTGACTGAAAATGTGCCCTCCTGTTGTAATAACAGCATAAGCAGGGCAGCCAGTCAGCAACATCCTGGGGCCAGTTCCAAGGCCAGACCTATTAGAATGCTCATGATGAACTAAGTGGTAATGGATTGTGACATCAATTACGGATAATCTCATCATTTTATTGCAGTGAGCTTGTCAGAGTTCTAATTAAGACCCCTGTCCTGCCTTTGTACTGGCCATATCGTCACTGCCTTATATGTTGATAATGACCATCAAGAACCAGAAGGACCTATTATAAAACCATCAGTTGCAAATTAATGACAGTGACCTTCTATTAGATGAAAAGAAAACTCCTGTGTATTAAGTGGTAAAAAGTTTCAAGTGTTTACTCAATTACAATCCTTTTAAGAAGGTGATAGTTTTCAAAAAATGCATTCCTCTTATATTCCTCTTATTATAAAGTGCATTCCCCCACTAATATTCAGTCACTGTAAACTTAGAAGGTACTTTCTGGCAGCAATCTGTACACTACCTTTTTCTGTTTTTATTTTACAGTTTTTTATAATACAGGAAAAGTTGATTCATTGACCAGACCAAAACAAACAATCTATTGGGATGATTGCATTATTTTTGGTAAGGCTTAATAGGGCACACTATATTTTCTTTTTTTTTTTTTGTATCACAATTTTCTTTTTGTATAATCTTACAAGCATTTAAATTTTAAGTTCATTTTCCTAAGATTACATTTCTGGGATAGATATCTTGATTAGAGGAACTAGTTTCGGGTCTTAGAGCTGATAACATGTCTAGTGACTACCTATATCATAAACTGACAGAGAGGCAGGGAAGTGTAAGATATTCAAATAGAAAAGCAAGTATATCTAAAGTCACGTGCAAAATGAACACTGAATCTGGAAAAGCCAACTCTACCTATCATATTCTGAAGTATTACTTCCAGAGAAGATGCAAAATAAAGAGCTCTTGTATTTATATTTCTAGTTTCTCAAAATGTTTGTTCCTGGATCCTAAAAAACAGGTGCTATGTATTAATGAGTAAGGGATACCAGTAAGAACAAAAGAAAGCTGCTTTACAAATAGGGTAATATACTAACAGTCTTGGGAGATTGCCACCAGTTAAGGCCCCATGGCATTTACATTCCACCTTGCTTTGTGATTTCCCCTCAGTTTGCCTGCCTAAGCCAAAAGCTCTGACTTTTTAGGGCACTTGTATAATACCAACCTTGCTTGGGGTGCTGGGTTAAAACAACATCCTACTTCACGTTCTTTTTGTTGTTTTGAGACATTGTCTCATGTAGCCTGGCCTCAAACTGTAGCCAAGAGGATGGTCTTGAACTCCTGATTTTCCTGTAGGATTGTACATATGCATCACCATGGCTAATTTTCTGTGGTGTTGGGGACTGAACCCAGGGATACTACATTCTAGGCAATTGCTCTACCAACTGAGCTACCTCCCCAGACTGCTTTTGTGTATCTCTTTTCACTGCTTTTATGACAAAATAAACAAGAAGATATTAATGCTACGATTTTATTTTTTGTTATTACTTTGTATTACCATTGTCATTAAATTTTTGCTAACCCAGTAGTAAGAAATAGTACTTCTGTATCTTTATTTGCTTTTTTCTTGGTTTCAAAAATTGATTTACAAGCACAGATTCTTGCCAAGGCAGTGTTTCTCATCTCTGGTTAGAAGACGATTAGAAAACATATTGTACAAGTAATGGATTTTACAAAATAAATTAGTACAGATTAAATTGAGTTACCGTGTGTGTGTGTGTGTGTGTGTGTGTGTGTGTGTGTGTGTGTGTGTGTGTACATGCCAAGAAGTAAAGCTGGAGGCAAATACCTTTACCTGCTGAGCCATCTCCACTCTGCAATTCTGAGTGAGGCCAAATCTCTTTATTTACAAGACAGTGTAAGGTCTAGGGATACAGCTTGGTGGCAGAGTACTGTCTAGCATATATGAGTCACTGTATTCATTCTCCAACACCCCCAAATCCCCTCCAAAAAACAAGCCAAGCAAACAAAAAATACAAAACCTGCTTTGCTATGTCACTGCTACTAGTACAGTATTTTTCACTGGTGTTTCCACTACATTGATTTGGTTTAATTGGCAAAAAATTAGTCTCTACATTTATTTTCTGATTATATTTCATTCAGGTCAGCAGAGTGATTGTACCTGCTTTGCATATAATGGTCCTCATGATCTCAACTTTCCTATCAACATGCAAGTGGTTCTTATGTAATATAATACAGACTATATAAGTGGGCAATGCTCTCTCACAGCCTATTTGTATTTTTTATATTATGTTCCACATGATTATGGATTTATACATTAAATATTTACCCTTTACCTATGTGTTGCTTCTTATTTTATTTTATAAACATGAGTTCAATTTCATATAGCACCTCAACCAGAATGGGGCCTTAAGTATTTGTTAGAGGTAAGTATTTATAAGTAGACCTTCCCTTCAAGAAGAATGACCTACTTGTGTCCTAGTTATGACATGTTTATTTGGAAATAGACAAAATGAAGTATATAGGATAATAAACTTTACAATTACAGAAAACAGTCTTCTAAAAGAAATACAGAGGGCTGCAGATATTGCTCAGGGGTTAAGAGCTACACTGGCAGAGCACCCAGTTTTGATTCCTAGCACCCACGCAGCTGCTCATCCCCATTTGCAAATCCAGATTCAGGGGATCCAATGCCCTCTTTTGCCCTTCTTGAGCACCAGGCATGCACATCATGCATAGATATACATGTCGGCAAAATACTCATACACAAAATAGTAGAAAAAACTTAATCTAACAGGAGGAATAATAAAAACCCAAAGGCAGATACTGGGGTTCAAGCTGAAAATCAGAAAAGCAAAGTAGCCAGCCAGCAGCTCTACCAAGGCTGAAATGGAGATCCTGTCTTCCCTGTGACTGGAAACTGAATCTCACATGAGACCCTTTGCTTCTTCCTTATATACCACTCTAGTGCTGGGATTAAAGGCATGAGCTGTTTCTTTTTTATAGACTCAGGGTTGATTGTTTATTCTGTTCTTTCTCTTGGAGATCAGTCTTGTACAACCTCCTGAGCAATGTATGAACACAGTTGTTTTCATGTTTTGTCCGTCTTCTATTGCTCTCAGGCAGAATGGAAACTCTACTGCCCCTTCTCCATTATTGCCAGGAGTAAGTGTTTAAATTACATAATTTTATGGAGAGGGGTGTATGTGTGATTGTGTCTGCATGCCCATGTGTGTATGGAAGGCAGAAGGTAACATCAGGTGTCCTCTATCACTCTCTTATTCCCTTAAGAGGTGGTTTCTGAACCTGGAGCTAGGCTGGAAGCCAAAAAATCTCCAGTGATCTTTCTGTCTCTGTCCCCTACAGTGCTAGGGTTACAGGCACCACAGTCACTCATGCTTTTTACATGGGCGACTGATTGATAGAGGTTCAAACTCATGTTTGTTCTGCAAGTGCTCTTACCCACTGAGCCATGTCCCCAGCCTAAATTACCTATATTTTAAATCACATGTTTTAAAGCAAGCTTCATACCAAAAAGAAAATGATTTTCTGAAAGGTGGTGGTGGATACCTTTAATTCCAGCATGCATATGGCTTCAGAAGCAGGTGGATCTCTGAGGACA